GGCGCAAGTGGTTAAAGGTCCTCACCCTGCCGCCCGGGATCCCATATGGGCGCCGGTTCTAATCCCGGCAGCCCCGCTTCCCTTCCAGCTCCCTGCCTGTGGCCTGGGAAAGCAGCAGAGGACGGCCCAAAGCTTTGGGAACCTGCACCCGCGTGGGAGACCCGGAAGAGGCTCCTGGCTTCGGATCGGCATAGTATCGGCCCGTTGCGCTCACTTGGGGAGTGAATCATCGGACGGAAGATCTTCCTCTCTGTCTCTCCTCTCTGTATATCTGCCTTTCCAATGAAAAAATAATAAAAATAAATCTTAAAAAAAAAAAAAAAAAAAGAATATGTAATTTACTTTCCAAATATTTTGGGATTTTCCAAGTGTCTTTTTTTTTTTAAAGATTTATTTTATTTTTATTGGAAAGTCAGATATACAGAGAGGAGGAGAGACAGAGAGGAAGATCTTCCTTCCGATGATTCACTCCCACAAGTGAGTGCAACAGCCAGTGCTATGCCGATCCAGGAACTTCTTCCAGGTCTCCCACACGGGGGCAGAGTCCCAAGGCTTTGGGTGGCCCTCCACTGCTTCCCCAGGCCACAAGTAGAGAGCTGGATGGGAAGTGGAGCTACCAGGATTAAAACCAGCGCCCATATGGGATCCTGGTGCGTTCAAGGCGAGGACTTTAGCTGCTAGGCCAGGCCACCGGGCCCATCTTTTTTAAAATATATTTTTACTTTGAATTTTGAATTATGTGATACAATTTCGTATAGGTTGGATTTCCCCCTCATACTCCCACCCCCTGATAGACTTTTCCCATTTTACAACAATAGTGTAGTCCTTCATAAGGAATCATGATTCTTTCAGTCTCTTATTTAAGTGTACCCCGACACTGTTGGTACAGACAATGTCAGACAGCCTGGCATCCCATTGTCTACAAATGTCTTTCCAATATTTTTATTCAATTGTCACCTGGGAATTTACCTGACTCGAGTCTTTTTAAACTTATTGAGCCTTGCTTTATGGGCCAAAATAACTGTCAATCTTGTAAATAATTTATGGATATTTGAAAAGAACTGTATTTTGTTGCTGTTGAAGACATAAAGGGACCAGCATCGCGGTACAGTGTCCATGTCTGCCATATGGACATCCATAATTAAGCCCCAGTTGCTCCACTTCCACCCAAGCTTCTTGTTAATGTGCCTCAGAAAGCAGCCAAAGACAGCCTGTGCTTGCAGCCCTGCTACCCACACGGGAGGCCCAAGTGGAGTTCCAAGCTTCTGGCTTCAGCCAGATCCAGCCCGAGGCTGCAGCCATTTGGGGAGTGAACCAGCAGAATAAGGATCTCATCTCTCACGCACTCTCTTCCTCGTCTCTTTCCTTACCCCTCCTTTATAAATCTGCCTTTCAAATAAGTAGATCTTTTTCTTAAAAAAAAAAAAAAAAAAAAAAGGAAATAAAGAATGAATTCAAATTGATTGAAAGTACTGTTCAACTCTTATATAACCTTGTTGATTTTCTGTCAACTTCTCTGTCGTTAATATAGCAATATGAAATCTCTGGTCATGACTGTGATCTATTTCTCTTTATAATCCAACCAATTGGGACTTCAGGTTTTTTTTTTTTAACTATTACTAGATACATTAATTTTATATTATTGTGCTGTCTTCTTCATGAACGAACCCCTGCTTCATTGTGAAATAAACTTGCTGGGGTGGGAACTGTGTTAAGCCACTACTTGGGATACCCACATCCCGTGTCAGAGTGTCACCTAGAGCTCTTTGCTACTCCACTTCCTATCCAGCTCCCTGCTAAGGTGCCGCCTGGGAAGCAGTAGATGGTGACTCGAATACCCTAGTCAGTGCTACCCACATAGGCGACCTCAACAGAATTCCTAGTGTCAGCATGGCCCAGCCCTGACTGTGGCAGGCATTTGGGGAGTAAACCAACAGATGGAAGATCTCTGTCTTTCCCTCTATCACTCTATTTTCAAATATTTAGAAGAAAAAAAAAAACACATTTTATTCTTGATAACACTGGCTCTGAAATTTATTTCTTATTTATTTTCTGTCTCAGAAATATGAGGCCAGAGATTATGTCATTTTGTGCCTCTAGCAGAGCAGCTGGCATTTGGTGTACTTAACATATGAAATGCAAATACAAAGATAAGCACTAGGAATCAGGAATGCAAAGGTGCTAGTACCTGTTTTGAGGAATCATAATCTTATCAGAAGGAAAACAGGCGGTCAGCCCCACTAAGCCACTGTGTCTGCTGATATACGTGAGGACGGAGTCTGTGGTGGGCTGGCTGGGTTGGGCCAGAGCATGGGAAGTGGGGCTAGGGCAGAACTGATCAGCCAGCTGTACCCACTAGTATATGCACTGGCTGGGGCCGGTGACAGATCACACCTGATCCTGTACTGACTGGTACACACGAGTCCAGCCTAAGGACATGACAGGCAAGGTTTCTTGGGAGACTCCAAGAAACTAGACCACTGGACTGAAACCCCAGCCTCATGGAAAATCACAGGATATGTGGTCCAGTTTTGGAGTGCATTTATCAGGACTGGGCCTCTTCAGTTGCTGATGCCTGTTCAGTGGATAGTAACTCCAAATGCACGTGGGGGATATGACAGCCAGCTGTCCTAGGTCAGTAGGAGACACCAACCAACTCCACAGAGGAAAGAAAGCAGAACAGGTTGGACAATTCTCCTGGCCAAGCTTTGTAGCATGCTCCTGGGTCTGTGGATACAATAAGGTGGACTATGTCAACCAACAGACCTTGGAAAGATTTTCTTAACCCTGCAGCAATGAAACCAACATCTCAGGGCCATTGAAACCACTTAAGTTATACCCTTGAAGCCATGTTCCTCACACTGAGGTCTCCAAGATGACATCAAATGACCACCCCATCCCTGGCTGCTGATCTAGTTTGACAGCAAGAGCGCCCCCTCCTCCCCTGTAGACGTAGGAGAAAAAAACATTGAAGCATCCATCCCTCGCACCTTCCTTCTTACCTGACCCTCCCCACCCTAATCAGAAACCCACATGAATGTACATCCTTCTCAATTATGTAAACAGTATTAAACATTTTTTTTTAAAGTAAAGCAAACACAAGCAATTTCAGAGTAATAAAAGCCATAAAGAGAGAGAGTACAAGATTCTTTGGAAGGTATAAGAGGAACATCTAACCCAGTCTAAGCAGATGATGATGGCTTCCTAAAGGAAGTGAAACCTAGACTAATATCTGAGTAGTAAGACCAAAACCAATCATTAACAAGAGGGAAGGCAGGCCCTCCACAAAGAGACCATAGCAGGAGCAAAGACGCTTGGGTAACAGAGAATATGGAAGCCAGAGTTCTCTCGGAGCGTTCTTAGTCTGTCTAGGAAACACAGCACCCTATGGTTAGCAGACCGCTCTTCCACATGCCCACATACATCTGTTCCCTGTAATTCAAATATGTGCTTACTAACAGTCTCTTAAGTGTTTCCTCTTTCTGCCAGTAGTTCCTGTTATCATGGTTTGATATTAGCATAAAGATAATAAAATATGGATGCAAATGACAGATGTTCTACCTATGAAAATTGAGTTGAATGATTTTAAAAGACTAGATAGGAAAGAAAGAAAAACTGTTCTCAAAGTACTACAGGGAAGATAAGGAGATAGCTAAATACTAGGACATAAGTGGGCAGCCCAGCAGTACGTTAGGCTGCCGCCTACAATGCCTGCATCTGGTTAATGTCCAGCTGTTCTTGCTTCCGATCCAGCTTCCTGCTAATGTGCCTGGGAAAGCAGCAGAGGTAACACCCACGTGGCAGAGCCTTGTGAGAGACACAGACGGAGCTTCGGGCTCCTGGCTTTGGCCTGGTCCAGCCTTGCCCGCGGTAGCCATTGTAGTGTGAATCAGGGGATGGTAGGTCCCTCTCTGTATTTCTATCTCTGTGTAATTCTGTCTTCCAAATAGATAAAACAAAAAATTTTTGAGATCAATTGTCAAAGACGACGACGTCTAGTAGGCAACTGGAAAGTCATGCAGCAGGAATAGTAGGGTGGCTCTGCAGGGCCCTGTGCTCCTCTGAAGTGCTTGGGTCACAGCAGAGCATCCAGAGGGGCTGAGCAAGGCAGTGACGGAATTAGACTCACTTCAGAAAAAAGCTTCTGACTACGGAATCAAGAGCAAACAAGCAAGGCTGAATAAGGCAGGAAGCTGTGGCTGAAACTTAATTAAGATGACGGTGAGGCTGGCATGGTGGCCTAGCACCCTAAACCTCTGCCTGCAGCATGAACATTCCATATGGGTGCCAGTTCAATACAGTTAGCTCCACTAACAATACAGCCTGGAAAGGCAGCGGGGGATGGTCCAAAGCCTTGGGATTCTCTACCCACACAGGAGAAACAAGCTCCTGGTTCCTAGCTGCGCACCGGGCCAGCTCTGATCACCGTGACTATTTGAAGAGTGAATCAGCAGATGAAAGATTGTCTCTCCTTCTCTAACTCTTTTTCAAGATCTATTTTTATTAGAAAGGCCAATTTACAGAGAGAAGAGGCAGAAAGATCTTCCAACAAATACATTTTTTTTTTTAGTTATAGTAAACTAATGAGGGGTGTTTTTAATATTCTTGAGAACAAACTTTATAGGTTAAGTAAGCTGTTGTGGATTTCTAACGAACTAAAACCACTGTCACAACTGTCACGGGAAACCATGATGACACAGAAACAAACAGACAACCTATTTATAGATTGGGAACTATTTACAACTTATTTGTTATTAAAAATGGTAACTTCCCCAGCAGCCTCATCCACTCCCCACCCATCAACAAGCTTCATCTGGACCATTTCCACTGGATTGTGAAACCGCTCTCTCGTGTGCAGTACAGCTAAAAAAGGATTGTTTCTAAATATAATTTTCTGAAACAGATCTTTTTAAATGTTTGTACGAAAGAGCAGTTGGGCTTTGGCACCTGCGACTGTAAATACTCTTTTAATATCTGGAAAAGGAAGCAGGAGCACTTACTTCATGGAAGACTGCTCCAGAATATGGAGATATCCCCAAGTCCAGCAGCGACAGGCCTTCAACCACTGCAAAGGAAGACAATCACATTGACTCAAAGACACAAACGGATGCACGCAAACATCCCAGGACCAAACGGGAGACCGGCATCTCACAGGCGCCTCGCACTTCATCCCGACTGCAGCATTTCTGGGGACAAGGAACTCTCTTCCACAGTGAACACCACACAGCAATGTGCTCCCTGGGAAAGTTTTATCAAACTATACTGGTTCCTTCCGCCTCCCAGTATTTTTTACCCACTCTAAAAAAAGCACTTCAGCTATGCATATTCTGCTCCATTGCAAAAAAAAAAAAAAAAGACAGGAGAAGCTAGTAAGAAATATCATCCACAGAATGTGAAAATGGGCAGTCAAACTTACATATTGTTTGTTTCAGTCACATTTGTGTAACTGTTCTATAAGGCAATATGCAGTTTAAAAATCTTTTGTTAGGGAGAAGGCAGCACCATGGCTCAACTGGCTAATTCTCTCCCTTGAAAGTGTCCACATACCACGTGGACACCAGTTTGTATCCCAACTGTTCCACTTCCCATCCAGCTCCCTGCTTGTGGTCTGGGAAAGCAGTCAAGGACAGCCCAAAGCCTTGGGACCCTGCACCCACTTGAGAGACCTAGAAGAGGCTCTGGGCTCCTGGCTTCAGATGGGCGCAGCTCTGGCCATTATGGCCATTAGGGGAGTGAAACAGTGGATGGAAGTTCTTTCTGTCTCTCCTCCTCTCTGTATATGTGACTTTTCAATAAAAATAAATCAACCGAAAGAAAAATAGGGACTGGCATTGTGGAAAAGCTGTGTCACCACTGCCTGTGACAGCATTATCCCATTTGGGCATCAATTTGTGTCCTGGTTGCTCCACTCCCAATCCAGGTTCCTGCGAACAGACTCGGAGAAGCAGTTGAAGGTGGCACAAAGGCCTTGGCCCCTGCTACCCAAGAGCAACACCTGGATGAAGCTCCTGGCTCCTGACTTCCATCCAGCTGTTGTAACTACTTGGGGACTGAACCAGTGGCTCAAGATCTCTCATCCTCCTCTTTCTCTTTCAAATAAGTTACTAAATCTTTTTTTTCTTTAAATGATGATAAACAGAACATTTTCAAAGGGACTAATAATAATTTCATACAAACAAACCTGAGATTCCCTATTTTAATTATGCACCAAAGTGAACATCAGTGATAATATCAATTTAGCATCGACCTTCTGATGATTCACCAAGACAGAGATAAGGGTGCTTCTTTGACCCTCACACCAATTTTTGCTAGAAAGGTAAAAACTTTAGTCTCAAGACAAACTCAAACCCAAAATGAACTATGAAACAATTAGCCAAGGGCTACTGCTAATGGCATGGTCAGAAAAGCTACCAACTATGACTCTGGCATCCCATGTAGGGGCCGAATGGTGTTCCCATTGTCCACTTCCAATCTAACTCCCTGATAGTGGTCTGGGAAAAGCTGCAGAACATAACCCAAGTTCCTCGGCTCTGCGTCCACATGGGCAACCTAGGTGACTCCCTGGCTTCATTCTGGACCAGCCTTTGCTAGTGCAGCCATGCGAGGGGTAAACGAACAAATGGAAAAGCTCTTACTGTATAACTTTTTTTTTTTTAAGATTTATTTTTATTTTTATTGGGAAGGTGGATATACAGAGAGGAGAGACAGAGAGGAAGATCTTCCGTCCGATGATTCACTCCCCAAGTGAGCACAATGGCCAATACTATGCCGATCCAAAACCAGGAGCCTCTTCCGGGTCTCCCACGCGGGTGCAGGGTCCCAAAGCTTTGGGCCATCCTCAACTGCTTTCCCAGGCCACAAGCAGGGAGCTGGATGGGAAGAGGGGCCGCCGGGATTAGAACCGGCGCCCATATGGGATCCAGGGCATGCAAGGCGAGGACCTTAACCACTTGCGCCACCGTGCCGGGTCCTAACTTTTTTTTTTTAAGATTTATTTATTTTATTTGAAAGGCAGATGTACAGAGAGGAGGAGAGACAGAAAGATCTTCCGTCCAATGATTCACTCCTCAAGTGGCTGCAATGGGAAAGAAGTCAAGGATGGCCCATAGCCTTGGGATCCTGCACTCACATGGGAGACCCTGAGGAAACTCCTGGCTCCTGGCTTCAGATCAGCTCAGCTCTGGGCGTTACAGCCACTTGGGCAGTGAACCAGTAGACAGATCTGTCTCTCCTTCTCTCTGTAAATGTGCCTTTCCAATATAGATATCTGAAACATGGTTCATGTCCAAGCTGTTCTATTTCCTATCCAGCTCCCTGCTTGTGGCCTGAGAAAACAATAGAGGATAGCCCAAAGTTTGGAATCTTGCACCAGCATGGTAAACCCAGAAAAGCTCCTGGCTTCAGATCAGCTCAGCACCAGCAGTTACAGCCACTTGATGAATGAACCAGTGGATGGAAGATCTTTTTCTATCTTTCTCTCTGTAAATATGCCTTTCCAATACAAATGTATCAGTTTAAAAATCTGTGGCAACCACAGAGCAAGAGCAGGCACTCTACAAATGATCCCACATGGCCCTCAGGCAGGGCCAGAAACTCCTGTGAGGGACAGCACCAGCCGGTCGCTGTGTCACAGCCAGCAGCCCTTCGCGAGAGGCTGAATATGACTCCTCAGGCCACCTGACAAGGTGTCTCTAAGTCCACCCACACATCCTCTCCCAGAGTAACGAAAGCAACTCTTCGGACGACCAGCGTGTGGCTGTTCAGGAACACCATTTTCCACAAACCTACTTTAATCCAGAGGGAGATGTGTCATTATCTAGCTAAAAGATGGGCTGCAAAACTTTCAGAAAATTGTCTGGGCTTGTAACTTCGCTAAGCCAGGCTCTTGCTGGATATTATACAATGATGAGCTGGTTAACACACATTTCCTGGCGAGTGCCTGGAATGTGTTTCTGCTATCTTGATTATCCCTACTCTGTATTACTTCACAAATAACAGATGTAGGAGAAAGGTCAAGCTAATGTAAAAACCTTAGGAAACCACTACTGGGGCCAGCATTCTGGTGCAGTGGGCCAAGCCACTACTTGTAGTGCCAGTGTCCCATAAAGAAGTGTCAGCCTTGAATCCTGGCTGCTCCGCTTTCAATCTATCTTCCTGGAAAAGCAGAAAATGATGGCCCAAGTGGTTCTGTCCCTACCACCCCAGGGAGAGACCTGAATAGAATTCCTGATTTCTGGTATTAGCTGGCCCATCCCAGGCTGTCTGAGGAGCAATCAAGAGGTGGAAGTCCTCGCTCTCAACTCCCATTTGCTCTTAACATTTAAAACTACAGGAAGGGCATAAACTATATTAAGGTGATTTCTTTTTTTTTTTTTAAGATTTATTTATAGCTATTACAAAGTCAGACATAGAGGAGGAGAGACAGAGAGGAAGATCTTCCATCTGATGATTCACTCCCCAAGTGAGCGCAATGGTCGGAGCTGTGCCGATCCGAAGCTAGGAACCAGGAACCTCTTCCGGGTTTCCCATGCAGGTGCAGGGTCCCAAGGCTTTGGGCCATCCTCAACTGCTTTCCCAGGCCACAAGCAGGGAGCTGGATGGGAAACAGGGCCACTGGGATAGAAACCGGCGACCACATGGGATCCCAGTGCATGCAAGGCAAGCACTTCATCCACTAGGCTACTACACCAGGCCACAATACTGTTTTTGACAGATTTCTAAACATGAGAGTGAACTCTGGTGCAATAGCCACGCCCAAAGATTGCTAACTCTTCACATAAAACATCAGCTATGTGATCCTGAGCATGTGACTCAGTCTCTCTGTGCCACAATTTTCTCATCTATAAAATGGGGTGAATGATGACATTTACATCATCAATTATACATAGTAAACTGTGTTATTAACACATCCCAAATGCTTTATTTAATACTGTGCCTGAAATATAGAAAGCATTATGCCAGTGTTAATTCTTATTTTTATTGGACTGAGAAGTCCAGGCTGGGCCCAGCACAATGGCTCAGTGGCTAAATCCTCTCCTCACACTCCCAGGATCCCATGTGGACACCAGTTCATATCCTGTCTGCTCCACTTTCCATCCAGTTCCCTGCCTGTGGCCTGGGAAAGCAACCGAAAATGGCTTGGACCCTTGCAACCACATTGGAGAGGGAGAAGAATCTCCCGGCTATTGGCTTCAGATCGGCTCAGCTTCAGCCCATGTGGCTACTTGGGGAGGGAACCAGTGGATGAAAGATCTCACTGTTATCTCCTTCTCCATAAATCTGCCTTTCCAGGGCCCAGCGTGGTAGTTTAGTGGGCTAAAGTGCTTGCCTTGCATGTGCTGGGATCCCATATGTGCATGAGTTCATGTCCCAGGAAACCTGCTTCCCATCCAGCTCCCTGCTTGTGGCCTGGAAAAGTAACCGAGGATGGGCCAAAGCCTAGGGACCATGCACCCACAGAGAAAGCCGGGAGGAACCTCCTGGCTACTGGTTTCAGATTGAGCTCAGCTCCAGCCACTGCAACCACTTAGGAACTGAACCAGCAGATGAAAGATCATTTTCTCTGTCTTTTCTCATCTCTATATATCCGACTTTCAAATAAAAATAAATCTTTACATATTCTGCCTTTCCAATGAAAAAAATAACACTTTAAAAAAAATAATGCAAAGCCCAGGCTGTACTTCAAACAAGAAATTCATGTATTATTTTAACTCTCCATATATTCACAGATTAAGCTATCAGACAGGTCTGCAGACACAGGTGACACAGCAAAGATCTCATTCCTGTATGAGTGGACATCTATTGTTTTTGAATGGCCAGCACCAGCCTTCCCCTCTTTTTGACAGCAACAGCACCCTAATCTTTCGGATGGAATACCACTTCTTCCACATTTCAGGTGCAGCTGTGGATGCCTGATATCCCTCCCAAAAACAAACAAAAATAAATACACAATTTAATCAGTTCACTCTGTGTGATTCAATCAGAGCTTCTGCTGTGTTCCTTGAAAACAGTTGCCACCTTTCCACCGGACTTGGCCCTGAGGGTAGTAATTCCAAAGCTACTAGCCATTCCTGTCCACAGCTGGGAAGGGCCTTCCATGAGACAGTCAGTGCTGACCGGGAGAAATAATTAGTCCTGATGAGATCACTGACTCTCTGGATCCAACTAACCCTGAAGTCAGTATCCGTCTTTCCATCATGCCAGGGATGAAGGTAAAAAAAAAAAAAACCACATATCTGACCAGTCTGAGTTGGGGTTCTCTCATTGCCTAGGAAACAACTGACAATGCAAACTTAAAACCTTCAGCTGTCTAAATACATCCATCATCCCTTCCAACTATACAACTGTCCATTTATCTTCATTCTAAAAAGAAAAAACAGTTGGGGCCAGAGCACTGGCAGACAGGCTAATCCTCAACTGGTGACGCCAGCATCCCATGCAGGTGCTGGTTCTAGTCCCAGCTGCTCCACTTCTAATCTAGCTCCCTGCTTACAGCCTGAGGACACAGTGGTGGATGACCAAGTCCTTGGACCTTATCACTCAGTTGGAGGACTAGGAAACAAATCCTAGCTCCAAGCTTCAGCCCAGCCCTGGCTGTGGCAGCCACTGGCGGGGAGTGAACCAACAGATGAAGACCTCTCAGTTTCTCATTTTAATTCTTTCAAGTAGAATAAATATTTAAAAACAAATCAGGTAAACTTGTCATTTGTGATTTAAAAAAAAATAAATCAGTCCACATTACAGTCATCAAAATCTATTCTTAAGATTCAGAACCTTTAACCCAAATAACTCATCACCTAAAAACCTAAACATTGTATGAAATCAGAATTCCTACTTCAATATTTCAAAATGCCTATCTTTTAAGTTCTTGATGTTTCCTGCACTCTGCTTAGGGGGATTTAGTACAATTGCTTGACTTTTAATATATCTTCTTTAAGGTATATGCTGAAGACAGGAGCTACTTACAGATATCATTCCTTCTCCCCAGAAATAAGCAATTAATAATTATCCTAATCAGACCCAGCTGAAGGTCACTGCCACCTCTGCCTCAAGTGGTCTCCCTTCCAACCCGAGGACCTAAACCTTTCGATATCACACTATCAAAGATTGCTACGGCCTTTGACTCCTCTATTTTAACCAGGATCACTACTGGTTTTCCTTGTATTCCAACTCAAACCCTTACAATCTTCTCCTTTTCCGTTTCTTGACAGAGCTTCAACATGGATTATCTCACTGAATAGGATACAAAACTTCCTATTACACAGATAAAAAAAAAAAAAAAACAACTTATCAGAGAGGTCACACAGCTACCGAGGAGCAAAAAAGACACAAACCTCTCCCTGAACCACTGCACAACACTGCCTCGTCTCTGGATCCCGTAAGCAGGCGGACTGTTGGCTTTCTTCTCTACACATCCACTCCATGCCAGGCACAGAACTCAGAAGTGAACCAAACAGTCCTCTGAGCTCACAAGACAGTGGAAACACTAAACAAACCACTAAATATAGTAAATTCTCTTAAGAGATGAACGTACAAAGTGCTAACAGAGCACAGGAAGGTAGGCCGCCTACTGCCCAGGACCTGCTGCTAACCAGAAACAAGCAGGCACCAAGTGGTTTCAATCCCTTCACTAACTGGCAAACCTGGGCAGGTAACACGCCCTCAACCCCAGCTCCATCCTTCGTAAAACAGAGAAAATAACACCCCTACCACATGGAATTACTGTGAGAGCTAAATAAGAAAAGGCACATTGACAGGCCTACCTGCTATATAGTATCTTCAGAAAGTTACCTCAACTATAATTACTCATAAAACTCCCATTCATTATGCCATTCACCTTTCAGAATGTCTACGGGAAAATACTAAAAACTGCAGCATTTTAGGGTGGGTGTTTTGCCTTACAGTTAACACCCACACTGCAATTCCAGGATTTAGCACCAACCTTTGGCTCCCGACTTGGGCTTCCTGCTCTGCAGACACTGGGAAAAGGCAGTAAGGGCTTAAGTAGCTGAGTCCACTCCACCGACACGGGGCACCTGGATTGCCTTACTGGGCTATTCCAGCATTTGGGGAATGAAACACAGATGGGAGCGCTCTCTTGCGCTCACTGTCGCTGCCTCTCAAACACGGGGGGGGGGGGGGGGGGGGGGTGTCTCCCGAGAGGCAGGTAATGCTGTTTCTCAATCTGGGTACCAGCTACATGGGTGCAGAGTTCATTAAATTCACCGAGCCATACCTGATTAAATCTTCATTGTGACAGATAAGGAACTTTAGCTGAAAGTAACTTTTCTGTTTATCAGCTCTAGTCCCCATCTAACCCCCTTCCAGCTACTTTGGGAATTTCACATCCTTGAGCATTTCCTAACTGGGTCATTTCCTGCCGCCTGGAACCCTTGTTTCTCAAATATCTCTTTCCAAATCCTATGTCCTTCCAGAGTCAGTTGTAATCATTCACGCCGTTGGGCCTGCATGATGGCTTAGCTGGTACAGCTGCCCCTGCAGTCCCCGCTGCTCCAGTCCGCATCCAGCTCCCTGCTAACGTCCCCGGTAAAGCAACAGAAGATGGACGAAAGCCTTGGGCTCCAGCACCCAATGTGGGAGACCAGGAAGAAGCTCCTGACATCCACCTGGCCTAGCTCTGCCTCTTGCCGTCATTTGGGGAGTGAGCCAACGCAGTAAGACCTCTCTTTTCAGGTCTCTCCCTCCCACTGCAGATCTGCCTTGCAAGTAAAATTTAATAAGGAAATATCATATCCTTAGGAAACTAGGAATGAAGTTTTTTCAGGGTCAGAAAACTAAGGAAGACACTGGGCGACCACAAGAAACATACTCTCATAAATTATTATTCCTCTAGGTTTAGTCTCCCTAACTTCCCCAGCCAAGCTCTGCGTCTCACAGCAGGCGCTAGGATTAAACAAGGTTTGGCTTAGAACTTCAGTGAAGAAGGAAGAGTAAAGAAAGCTGACTGCCAGTCGAAGCCCAAGAGGGGGTCTGTCTACACACGCTCACCACTGAGGCAAGACTGTCTCATCTCTGCCTTCACACACACCAGCCCCTAAGCCGAGGGTCAGCACTCGCGGCATCAGAGCCCCCCGGCCTCTGGAGCCAGTCCCTCGACTGACCACCTCCACTGAGGGCAAAGGGCGGGACACGCCCCCTCAGGTCCCCACCCACACAGATTCTGGCTCCCACTGCCCAAACCTGAAGACCTCAGCTCTACCTCCCCCCCCCTCCTCGCCCCTCCGCAGCCCCGCCCTCAGGTCCCCCCAGAACCCCAAGAGCCCATCAGTTCCACTCGCTCGCGGCCACTGCTCCTGACTCCCATTCAGAGAGGTCGGGGCAGCGAAGGCCGGGGCCTGACCGCCGACTCCAGCCCGTGGCCTCACCTCGCTTCCACGAGCTCAGAGGGGACACCACCTCTACCCGCTCGGAAATGAACTCGGCCAGACTAGAGCGGAATAAGGCCGCCCGCACGGTCACGGCCACCACCAGAACCAGGGCCAAGGGAGCCGCCATGATACCTAGGGCGGGCGCGCGGGCGGCTGGGGCGGGGACAGGCGAGGCGGAAGAGTCTTGCGCGCTGCGCGCCACCCGCTGTAGTTTCGCGGTCGGGCGGACGCCGTAGCGGGAGCTGCAGCTGCCCGATGTGGAAACTACCACTCCCAAGAACACTTGCTGCAGGGAGGGTGGGATGACGGAAAGCGGGACGTCTCAAGATTATGGCAAAGTTGGGTGACCCCCCCACACACACACCCCCACGTGCCTAGGGTCACAGGTGAATGGAATTGCTCAGGTGCTGAAGAAAGGACCACGGAAGAAAGTTACCGCCCTACACTTGTGAGAGAAGCTTCGAACTGTTCGTTTTACTGTGATTTGCGTGCTTCTAATGTTTGCCTTTTATGCTTTTAAAGAATATTATTCTTATTCATTTGTTTATTCTTAAGATTTATTTATTTATTTATTTATTTTTTAATTTTATTTATCGCTTCTCGGCCTTTTGGCTAAGATCAAGTGTAGTATTTATTTTTATTGAAAAGGCGGATATACACAGAGGAAAGACAGAGAGGAAAATCTTCCCTCCAATGATTCACTCCCCAGGCGGCCGCGACGGACTGGAGCTGAGCCAATCCAAAGCCAGGAGCCTCTTCTGGGTCTCCCACGCGGGTGCAGGGTCCCAAAGCTTTGGGCCGTCCTCGACTGCTTTCCCAGGCCACAAGCAGGAAGCTGGATGGGAAATGGAGCTGCCAGGATTAGAACCAGCGCCCATATGGGATCCTGGGCGTGCAAGGCGAGGACCTTAACCACTTGCGCCATCGCGCTGGGCCCCCATTTGTTTATTCTTTAACTTTATTGAATGCGGACTGTCGCTTCCCATCAGTTGATAACTAGATGATATCTAGTGACCTCAGGTTGGTAACTTGAAATCCCTCCCCGTGGGAGTGTCCACGTCACAAAAATTGGCAAGTGCTACACATCACACGTGTGAGGTTTGGAGAGTCATACATAAGTGTGAAGCAGCACGTGGCTTCAGTCATGTGTGGAAAGTGTTTTTTAGAAGTGCTTAAAAATTAACCCTAAGAATATTAAATGAAAGTACCAGGAAATGCAAATTCATGAAGAAAATCAAACAGCATGCATGATGGAAAAGAACTGCTTGGGGAAAGGATAGCAGTAGCAGGTCGGGGTGATTAGGGAATGACACGGATCAAGAGTAGCTGTTTGGTCTACAGGAACAGTGTGTGCATTTCCACAGTGCCTGGGTTCAATTCCTGGGTCCAGTCCCTGATTCTAGCTCCCAGCCAATGCAAACCCTAACAGGTGGTAGTGATGGCTGTCGCACAATTGAGAGTCCTGGATTGAGTTTCTGGCTTGTGGATAATTATCTCTCTAGTGTCAAATATATTTTTTAAAAGAAAGAAAGAAAAAAAAAAAACAGAGCTTTCAAGCAGAGGGAACCAACTGAGTCAGGAAATAACATTTGAGTTTGAGGATAAGAAAGGAAATGAGGGCCCAGTGCTGTAGCCCAATGGCTAATGTCCTCGCTTTACATGGGCCAGGATCCCATATCGACTTTGAGTGCCAGCTGCTCCGCTTCCCCTCCAGCTCCCTGCTTGTGGCCTGGGAAAGCAGCATAGGATGGCCCAAAGCCTTGGGACCCTGCACCCACATGGGAGACCCAGAAGAAGCTCCTAGCTTTGAATCAGCTTAGCTCTGGCCACGGCAGCCCCTCGGGGGGTGTACCGTGGACAGAAGATCCTTCTCCCTGACTTCAGAGAGGGCATGATGAAGGAATAGAAACGTGCTTGTTCTTGCAGTCCCCACTCCGTGTTCAGCCTTGTGACATATTCACACACGAGCACAGCATCCTCCCTAAAAATGTAGCTGTTGCTATCCCCTTTAACATACAAGGAAAACACAGGTATATGCATTGTCTTAGACTGAAATTAATGAATTACAGGTAGAAGTGACCTAGATTATTTAATATCTGGTGCTTAGCACACATGCCCAGTGGTCAATACACACTAATTAGCAGTTGTACTGTACATCATCCTAACAGAGGACTTCAAGATTCTTCTTAGGATGTAGATTGGGAAGAACAGTGATTAATTTTTATACAGAGGGATGACTCAAACATAAGTGTGTGGGGGGTATCTGTAAGAACTAAAACTATAAAACTTGTAGCAGAAAGCCTAGGTGCCTATCTCCATGACTTTGAAGTGGGCAAATGTGCAGGTAATAAAAAAGAAATAAATTTTACCTCATCAAAATTAAGAATTGGGGGGAGTGTGTCAAGTGTTTTACACAGTAGTTAAGACTGATTGAAATGTCTGCGTTCCACATTGGAGTTCCTGAATTGAGTTCTGTCTCCACTTTCCATCTAACTTCCTGCTGCTGCCTGGAAGGCCGCAAGGACGGCTCAAGAACTTGGGTTTCAACCATGTGAGAGACTCAGTTAGCATTTCTAGATCCTGGCCTCTTGGCCTAGTCTCAGTTTCTGTGGGCATTTAGGGAGCGAAGCAGAAGATAGAAGATCCCTCCTTCTCTCTGTTGCTCCGCTTTTCACGTAAATAAAAAATAAACATAGAAATATATGACGTTGCTCTAACTCTACTTGAACCCCTTGAAAGGACTGCCCACTATTTGTAGAATGAGTATGGCTTCACGTGATGGTCCATAAAAGCCTCTGATCTCTGCTCGTCTCTCCAGACTCACCTCTTGCTCATGTTGGCCATCCTCACCCCAAGCTCACTGCAAACAGTGAGTACCTATTCTTGGTATAAATGGTTTCTTCTCCTTTACGTCTTAGCTCATATATCACTTCTTGACACAGGCTTTCCTTGGCCATCTAATCAATAGTAGAGTAGTGATTCCTCCATTATTCATTATCGTTCTTGGCCTATGGCCTTTGTAAGACTCCTCACTCATAATTATTTGTCTGCTGCAATTCTGTGTGACTGTTCCACTGTAAGCTCCAATGTGAATGGGACTGTCTCTTTTTTTTCTCCATCCTTGCAGTAGGTATTTGCATGTTTTCTTTTTGAATCCTGTATCCAGTCATTCTTTGGCCTGCACCACAGTGCCTTCACCATCTGACTTTATAAAGCCTTTTACTTCACTGCCCTGCACACAGCCAAGAGGCAGGTAGCAGATGAAATGTCAGTCAATCTTAGGTGGTTTTCCAGGAACACATACTCTCGAATGCATGTTGCAAGGTCATCCAACACCAGTTGAGTTTCACTTTTTCCAAGAGTTGGACTGATGGAGCTGACGGGTAGGTCCTGCTACCCAGGCCTGGTGTTGTTACCTGATTGGGTCCTGACGATGCCGAAACTAACTCTCCAGTCTTTGACTGTGTCACTTTCCCAATGAGAAGGCCCTCTGCTGAATGTTCTGTGCATCAGGAATGTCTAGAATCAAGTCGCTTTTTTTAATCAAATGTGCTAAATAGGCTGTACGTCCACAATGGTAGCTGCTTAATGAGCATAGAAGGAAAACCACCTCTGTGTGTGACCTGAGGCTGGTCACTTAGTCTCTGAGAATCTGTTTTCTTCCTCCTCAGGTACCTCACATATTTTGTGGAGTCTCTAGCTTCAAAGGAGAGAAATCACATGGCTTGCTCCATTATGATTTCCTTCCCTTCAGCTCTCCACCCTTCCTTCTTAGCTACAATGGCAAAACCAGCCAAGCCAATTCAAGCCAACCCAGGCTCTTCTCATTGTCTCAGGCAGAGCTTCCTAGCACAGTGTCTGGGGCTGACATTCTGCCCCCCCGACTAGCCCAGATGCCTGAACTTCTTTATGCCTTAGTGTCCCTGCATGCACATGGTGATGAGGAAGCAGTATGTCTCAGGATCACAGACAAAGCACTTAAAACAGCACTTACCACATAGTAAGTACTCAATACTTGCCAGCTAACGTAACTATTGTCATCTTTTTGTGGCAGAAGTTATTGGACACCTAAGTCTCCAGGATTGTTTTTCAAGGTGTAACTTCTGAATCACCCCATGTAAGAATTACCTGAAAGATTTAGAATGCAAGTTCCTGGACTACACCCCTGGTCTAATGAATCATAGTCTTTAGAACAAAACTAGGAAATTTACATTTAAAAAGTAACTCCCAAGTGATACTCAGTCATTTATTTTAGAGATATAACATAGAGACTATAAAATATCACCCAATTACAGTTCAGGGTCCAGGGTTGCTGTGGCACAGCAACTTAAGTCATTGCTTATGATGCTGCTATCCTGTATTTGAGCACTGGTTCAAGTCCCAGCTGCTCTGCTTCCCGTCAAGCTCCCTGTTGATGCACCTGGGAATGCAGCAGAGGATGGCCTGAGTGAATGCTTGGGAGATCTGGATGGATGTAATAAAAATTTATTAAGATGTCTTTATTTTTATTAAAAAGGTAGATCAGATTTTATGGAGAGAAGGAGAGGCTGAGAGAAAGATGTTCCATCCATTAGTTCACTCCTCAAATGGCCGTAATGGCTGAGCTGAGCCAATCAGAAGCCAGGAACCAGGAGCTTCTTCCAAGTCTCCCACACGGCTGCAAGGTCCCAAGACTCTGGGCCATCCTTGACTGTTTCCCAGGCCACAGCAGCACTTGCAAGATGAGGATTTAGCCATTGAGCCATTGTGCCAGGTCCTGGATGGAGGTATTTATAAAATAACTTTGACTTCAGACTTTGTGTCCATTTGAAGAGTGAACCAGAAGATAGAAGATTTCTGTCTTTCCATCACTCTACCTTTCAAAATAAGATAATAAATATTAAAATATGAATAAAGTGAATAGTTCAGTGATGTGTGATTTACTATTTAGATCTGCACAACCAGCCACACAAGCTAGTTTTTAGAATATTTTTATTATCATCCAAAACAGAGTTTACACTCATTGGCAGTCATTTCCTGTTCCCACTTCCTTGAGCACCTCAGCCGTAGGCATTTTTGGCTTCATAGATTTGCTCAATATGAAAATTCCGCAAGTAGAAATAGAACTAAGTAACGTTGTCTTTTGTGACTGGATTATTACACGTAACATGATGTTTCAACATTGATCCATGCTATAGCATGCATCATTATCTTTATTTCCTAAATAATACTCCCTTGTATAGATATTCTACTTTTTAAATTCACTTATGGGAAGTGAAATGGATATCTGCGTTGTCACCACTTCAGCCATCTACATAAGCTATGATTATTTGTTTACTTTT